AATCTTCCTGTCCCTATGACAATTATGACAACCTACTTGTGATACAAAAAAGTATTTTTTTTCATCAAAATTATATTTACCTGTGCTAAGAACCGCTTCTTATTGGTCAGTGTGGTCAGGTGACTGCATTGACCAATGAGTGTTTGCAATTTGTGAGTGAAATTAAAAATTCATAGCACAGGGCTGCACAGGACGGGGGTACGGATAGTACACTACCGGTTCAGCAGAGGGGAAGGACCGTTTGCCGAAAGGTAAGTATTGCAGGGAGTGAGAGGGGGCCAGAGTGGGTGGGGAACAAGCCGGCTGCTGCAAGTGACCTGGGCGGCTGTACAGATGCCAAGATCACTTGTACAAAATGAGCGACAGCTCCCCTGCTCTACATTTAGCCCTGCTTGCCCACAGCTGGGCTAAATGTAGAAAAAAACCCTCCTGCCTGGCACACGGACCTTCATGTCCCAGTCGTTGCGCACCCCTGTATATATAATCCAGTATTTAACAACAGTATTGAAGTGGTAGGACTATAGGGGGCACCAGACATATTAAAGTTTATGCTGATAGTACACAGCAATTTAGAATCTGAAACACTGATTTATATGAGTTCACCATAAATCAGCAAAGGCAATTCCACGGTAAACACATTGCAACGTAATATATGTACCCTTAGTTTGCGGTCAAATTATAGACTTATTTATATTCGGCGTTCCATTCATGCACTGCAAAATGATGGCAAGATAATCACAGTATGTATTTTGTTGTATATTCTTTAGAATGTTTTGCTGTAAATACCTGCTTCTCTCTTGTAGATTTCTTCTCTAAAGGTACAGATTCAGTCCCAGGAGTCCGATGTGCAGGCACAAGAGGAAGAACTTAACAGAGCCAAATCAGAACTCAACAGATTGCAGCAGGAGGAGACTCAACTGGAGCAGAGTATTCAGGCTGGCAAAGTTCAACTAGAAACCATTATTAAATCATTAAAATCCACGCAAGAGGAGATCAACCAGGTAACTCTTGGTTTAATGAGTGAATTAAGTTAAAAATCCTCTTTAAACTTTACCCTGGAAACACTCTGCTCCCCAGGAAATGTTCCTATGCCTGTTTGTTATGCCATATGAAGGATATTAGTACATTTTTCCTATGAACAATGCTTGTGCTCATTGAAGCATGTCCTAACAACAATCTCATGAACACAGGTTTTTGGAGATAATTCTGCAATAGTTTTTTTTGTTCAGAAATAAAGTTTTATTGAGGTTTTTACAGAGACAAAATAATATCGATACAACAACAAAAACAAAGGACGTACATACAGCACATAAACCGAGGTCTCATAAATTATATATTAAGTCCGGGTCTTATAGCATAGAAGGCACTCATGGTGTAGGCACCTGTGAAATCCCTGAGCTAGGCACAATTTAAAGTGTGCCACCATGCTAGGCTAAGACCGTCACCCCACTGTCGGAGGCGGACCAATTCTTATGTCCGCACACCGCTTTAGTAAGTGAGTGGTGGAATGAGGGGGGACCTACGAAGTTGTCCCCAGGTTGGTTGGAGTGTTAGAGGGATCTATGTGGACTCACCGCAGTGACTGAAACTCCTCCGTATCCAGGAACAAAATCCATGACATCCATCTGGTCAGAAAGGTATCAGATTGGTCAGCTCTTTCTGCAATGAGCTCCTCCGATCTCATCAGGCGGCACATCTCTGCTGTCCATTCCGCAACTGGTGGAATGACAGTGGAGTTCCAATGGCGAGGGATTAAGGCTCTGGCAGCAATGATAAAGAATCTAAGCAAGGATTTCTTCACCTTAGAGATAGAGCCCGGAAAAAACGATAATAGAGCCATTTCCGGTGTAATGTGCAGGTCAATGGAAGTAACTCTGGAGTAGATATGTGAGATAACTCGCCAAAAGGGCAGAAGCAGAGGGCAACTCCACCACACATGGGCTAACGTGCCAAGTCCAGCCTGGCATCTCCAGCAGTTGTCTGGGTAAGTGGAGGAGATCTGGTGCATTCTAACCAGGGATCTATACCATCGGGTCAACAATTTTTAAAGTTCCGTTCTTGTGCATAAGTTGACATGCAGAGTTTGTGTGTAAAGCATAGACATTTGTGACGATCATCCTCCGAGAGGACGATTCCCATCTCCTGTTCCCAGGCGGAGAAGAAGTACAGGGAATCTCCGCTGTGCGCGGTGATTTAAAGCTTGGTAAAGTAGCGAAACTGGGCGTTGGATTGGTAGACCAGTGGCACATAGGTCCTCAAAAAAAGTGAGAGGCCTATAGAGAGCGCCCGATACGGACAGTGCGTCCACAAAATGTCAGAGTTGAAAGTAGGCCAGCCAAGAGGTTCGCGGAAGCAGGTTGGGGCCAGGCAGGGATGCTAGTGGCTGCAGGGTGGTTCCCAACAGACTCTGAAATACATAACAAGGTTCAGAGATCTTCCAGCACAAAAAGGTGGGAACTCCATATCCTGCCGGGAAATCCGGGTTGGCAAGGATCGGGGTCATTGGGGGCTGAGACGTAGATAGGCTATATCTGGAAATCGTGGTGTTCCACACCCGTAACACCAGGGGTGGAAAAAAGGGAAGACCCGAGCCTCGCGGTCGAAGAGCAGTCGGTAACCACGGAAGTGTGAATAACAGTACCGGGGAAAGGTCACGTTCCAGGGTGACCCACAACGCCGGGTCGCGGGAGTCAAACCAGGCTGCCAGATGGGATAGATGAGTGGCCCTGTAATAAGTCTCTAAGTCCGGGAGAGCGGCGCCCCCATGTTCCTTCTTCTTTATCAAGATAGTATATTGCAGTCTGGGCTTCTTATTCCTCCAAATGTATCGTAGGACCGCCGAGCGGATGCGTTTAAAGAAGCGGATCGGGAGACCAATAGGAAGGGTTTGGAACAGATAGAGGCATCGAGGTAGCAGATGCATCTTAAACAATGCGATTCTGCCAAACCAGGTATGGTGTAGGTTCATCCAGGAGGCAAGAGTGTCTTCTATGGATTGTAACAGTGGGGTGTAATTAAGCAAGTATAGGTCCGACAAAGTGGCTGGCACCTTAACCCCTAGGCAGGTAATGTAATCTGACCGCACTCGAAAGGGAAGTGAGTTCCGGAGGCTATCCCGTTCCGCAGGGGTAAGGGATACGTCTAGAAGTTCGCACTTTTGCACGTTCACCCGGTAATTAGATAGACCCCCAAATATTTTACATTCTTCCAACACCGAGGGTAGAGCCACCAGTGGGTCGGAAAGGTACAATAATAGGTCGTCAGCATATAACCCCATTTTATGGACTTGTTTGCCTATTGAGAGGCCTTGAATGGATTGATTGAGTCGAAGAGCATTTGCCAGGCGTTCCATGACCAGGATGTAAAGTAATGGGGACAGGGAGCAGCCCTGCCGGGTGCCATTGTGTATTTGGAACGGGGCCGAAAGCACCCCGTTCACCCGTACCTTGGCGTGGGGTCAGCAATAAAGTGCCATAATTTTATCCACAAAATCTGTAGGGAAGCCCGTCTGAAGTAGGGAGGCCCGCAGAAAGGACCACCCTACTCGATCGAAGGCCTTCTCGGCGTCCGCCGAAAATAAACAAAAGGGAGTGCCTCGCGACCGAGCGTCTGCAATAGTTACCACACATTATGGATTTGGTTATGCTGGATTAGAGTAATCCTATAATATCTATTTGGATGATATCATTTTCTCTTCAACCTATATGAGCCAATAGGCTCGGATGTACGGTATTATTGAAAACATATTTGTTCAAAGATGAGAATTAAGTTTAGCCCAGTGAGACATGCAGTGACTGGGTTGGTGTATTTAGGCATGTAACGGTTACAGCACTTGCAACAGACTAAAAAGAGCCCTGAAAAAGGACTAAGAACTAAACCCCCTATGTAATATATGATAACCAAAAATGTAATCAGCAAAACTTAAAGGTGACTCTGAGCTCAGTTGGCTGTTTTATTGGAGAGGTGTCCTTGGAAACCAATATATTAAATCCCACGGTTGGGGTTATGTCCCTGTTTTTTCATTATATAGACAGTGTAGCAAATAATTATTTGATCCCCTGTAGATTTTGTAAGTTTGCCCATTTACAAAGAAATGAAAGGTCTATAATGTTTTATCATAGGTGTATTTTAAATGATAGAGACAGAATATCAACCAGAAAAAACACGATACAAATGTTATAAATTGAGTTGCAGTTCAGTGAGTAAAATAAGTATTTGATCCCCAAGCAAAACATGACTTAGTACTTGGTGGAGAAACCTTGTTGGCAAGCACACAGGTAAGACGTAGTTGGTTACCAGGTTTGCACACATCTCAGGAGGGATTTTGGTCCACTCTTTACGGATCTTCTCTAAATCCTTAAGGTTTCCTGGCTGTCGCTTGGCAACTTGAAGCTTCAGCTCCCTCCATACATTTTCTATAGGATTAAGGTCTGGAGACTGGCTAAGCCACAATGTGCTTCTTCTTGAGCCACTGCTTTATTGCCTTGGTGGTATGTTTTGGATCATTGTCATGCTGAAAGACCCATCCATGACCCTTCTTCAGTGTTCTGGCTGAGGGAAGGAGGTTCTCATCCAAGGTTTTACAGTACATGGCCCGGTCCATTGGCCCCACAATGAGGCAAAGTACCCTATGTGATAGCAATAAAGTTAAATGTAAAAAATTAAATTTAAAGCATAAAAAAGTCCCCTGCCCCCCACATACATGCGCAAACATGAGTTGGGTGCGCCTACGTGCAAAAACGATGATTCCGCCTATTGAGCCGCACATATCGCAAACGTCGTAGTGAGAGTAATAATTTTAGGGCCATCAATCACTGTTAAAACTAAACTGATGAGCGATAAAAGCTTTTAAAGCGTCGCCTATGGCCAATATTGGGTGTGGTCGTTTTCTGCAATTTTGCAGGCGTGCGCAATTTTAAGGCTTCACAGGTCTGGTGTCTATTTTGTTTCAACATTTTCGGTAATAGTAATGTTTTATAACATAACGTAGGGGGGAAATTTTTTTTTACCGAAATGTAAGGTACTTTTTTCGTTATATGGTAAAAAATAAAACCCATAGTGGTGATTAAATACCACCAAAAGAAAACGATATGTGTCCTCAAAACATGATATAAAATTGATTTCAGTACAGCGTTGCATGACGGAATAAATGTCAGTCAAAGTACTTCAGCGCTGAACACTGAAAAATGGCCTGGCCAGGAAGGAGATTTAACACCTGGTCAGCAAGTGGTTTAAACTCGCCATTCTAGGAATCTGTTAAATAACTTGCTTTTCCCCCAACCAATTACATATATAGATATATAGATCTATAGATCTATATATCTATAGATATACACACATATAGAGAAGGGCAACTCAATATCAATATATTACTTGAATTTGTCACAAGGCAAGGTTTAAAAAATATATATATGCACCATCACTAATTTCCTACCTTTTTAATACAACTAATATCCATCAGAAAACAGCCTCTATTCTCTCTACGATTCCTCCAGATAAAATTGCATTTTTAATGTAAAATGACCATACAATTACATTGTTTTAAAACATGTTTCTTAACCCCTTGGCGCCGACTCCCAGCATCCTTAAGGGATGTTCACGCTGGGAATTGGAGACTGGCTTCCCTAGCATGTGATCACTGTGATCGGATGGCAGAGTAGTCTCCTTATCGGGAGCCCGTCCCACCAGCTCCCATTCGTAAACAGTGTCAGTGACAGCTCAGTCACTGTACTGGGAGTGCACTTACTAGTCAGCAATGGGCCAGCTGATGCACACATGCTTACAGCTGGTGGTAATGCCCACCCATTGTGTTTTTATATAGGGTGACCGTATGATAAAAGAAATGTGGGGCTGTTCACTTTCATTTCTGAAAATGCTGGCTGCCTGGCTGTCTTGCTCATTTTTCGGGGCTTCAAAACCTTTTTAATCACCCGTTTGCAGAGTAAAAGTTTTGACTAAACTTTCTGGAGATGGTTCACACCATCTCCAGACCAGATCTGGCATTTCTGCATGTTTTTGATGTGGTACGGTGCGTTTTTTTATTTTTTTATTGGTTTTGCTTGGGTTTTAAATGCGTTCCAATGTGAAAAAATGCAGCATGCTGTACTTTAACAAAAAAAAAAGCTCTGGAACTGAACGCAGCAGTGTGAACTGGCCTCATTTTAAACCATTAGAATTACTGTGCATGCCTTTTTGATGCAGGTAAGAAAACACTAGTCTGGAGATGGTGTAAACAGGCCCTAAAGCCAGAAGATTTGCAAAACAGCCAGATGACTAGCATTTTATATTTATGTGCCAGTGCAGCATATGCTTTCTCAGTCCTAGAAAATACTGCAGTCTCCATTATAAACTACTGGGCTGTATGTGAAGAGTGTAGGGGGGGAGGCAGCTCAGTAAAACATTTTTCATTATCAGAGCTGTTTAGTTGATCTGCTTGATGGGCAGTCAACTAGCCTTTTTAGAAGGGGATCAGCAATGGTAGCCTTACATATTTCAAAGTTTCCTTTTAATGTACAGTGGTTTGAAATAATAGAGGTATATGTTGTACAAAGTTCAGGAACGTCCCCAGACACTTTCTGTCTCACTAGCCACAAATGCCACCTGCACATTTATATTTACTCTAGTTTTTATTCGCTGAGAATGTTGTTTTTAACCTTTCAAGTCACAATGCATGTTTAGGGATGTGGTTTGTCTAGTGCTCATCCTCCTCATCTACTTTTTTGATACAACACATGCTTTTCTTGCTGTAATTGGCAGCAATATAAACACCAATATTTGTGGTATACAATTCTTATTTAACCCATTTTGTTAAAGCATTCATGTGGAAGTCTTGCTCCATATATTTTATTCCTGCCCTAAACTCCTAGCTTTCTGGTCTGAAGTGAAATGCATTACCCAAAAGCTCATGGATCCTGTGGGACCCTGCTGTCTTCCTCTTACACCATAATGCCTATCCCAAGCAATCTTCTAGGAAGTCTGTCTTACCACAATTACCACTGTGGCTCAGTAAGGTTTGATTGATTGTATGGAAGACTTGTCCTTCCTTCTGGAGGGTGGTTACTTTTGTTACCCATGGTCCCTGTGTGTTGTAAAGTAGCCACCGATCCAAGCTCGCTCCGCGGTGGATTACAGGCTCAATGCAAATACTAAACTAGATTGTCGTCCATCATGGGAGCGAGCTTGGAGTGGTGGCTACACCATGCTCACTACAGAAGGAAGGACAGTGTCAGCACCATTTCAGAGATGATTTGAGGATCTACAGCTGAGTGATACACTAATAAGGGTCAGTATTGTTAATAGTTTATCTTCAAATTGCAATCAAGTGCCTTAACTCCTGAGTTTAGTGTCACTTTAAATCTGGTATACCATGTGTATTATTGTATGCTTATGTCTCATATTCCTGGCCTCTCTAATACAAATTTGGAAAAAAAATGAAGATTTAAAAAAAAAAAAGTATTAACCTGAACATATGGTCTTTAACCTCTTGCCGTCCGCCCGTAGTAGAAAAACGGACGGACGGCACTGCTGCATTGGCGGGTTGCCGTTGCCAGACGGCATTTTTTTTTCTGCTCGCGCGTGCCCCCTAGCGGGCACGCACGGGCAGAAAAGACCCGTCCAATGCAAACACCCGGTACCGGGTGTTTCACATATAGGCGATCAGCGGGTCCATAGCCCGCCAATCGCCTATATGTGCTCGTTTGCGTCCGCATCTGCTTCATCAGCTTCTTTTGGGGTCCACAGGTGACTTTAGGGGTCCTAGAGACCCCTAATGTCTCCATAAAGAGGACCTGTCAGTGTGCCTTTGCTATTATATAGGTGGATTGTTTTCCCCCTATATAGTAGCAATAACAATAAGTGCAAAAAAATTAATATAAATAAAAATAAATAAAAGTCACATATAAAAAAGTAAAATAAAATAAAAGTCAGATATAAAAAAAGGGGAAAAAACCCCCCAAAATGTTTAACTCCCCCACCCCCACGTTTACGCGCCTATAAACGTAAATACGCGTCCGGTGCCCCAGCGCGCAAAAATTACAATTGCGCTACACATGACATATCGCCGCGAACGTCGCAGTGAGAGCAATCATTTTAGGGCCATCAATCACTGATAACACTAAACTGATGAGCGGTAACAGCTTTTAAAGCGTCGCCTATGGCCAATTTTGGGTATTATCGTTTTTTGAGGTTTTGCGCGCGCACGCAATTTTAAGGCTTGACATTTTTGGTGTCTTTTTACCCGACGTGACCCCGTCTTTTATATTTTACCAAAAAATTGGGTAATAATAAATGTTTTATCATTTAATATAGGGGAAACTGTTTTTTTTTTTTACATTTCGGTGATTTTTCCTTTTAATATAGTAAAAAAATAAAAACCCCAGTGGTGAATAAATACCACCAAAAGAAAGCTCTATTTGTCCCCAAAAAAGGGTATAAAATTAATTTCAGTACAGCGCTGCATGACGGAATAAATGTCAGTCAAAGTACCGCAGCGCTGAATACTGAAAAATGGCCTGGATGGGAAGGGGGTTTAACACCGCGGATGTCAACTGGTTAAACAGACAGCTATCAAGAATGCAAATCCATTTACTGATTGGAAACCCTTGTAAAATAATATGAAGCTTACATTCACTTAGTCTGGGTTTATGTGAATTTCATAGACTGGTGACTTGCAAATGCCCAAGTAAATAATTTGTTTGTTTTCACTTTGTTGGCGGGATTTCTGTGTTTAGTTAAAGTTTGATACCTGCTCCTAAACCCATTTTTAACTCCCTTTTTCGTGTCCAAGGGTCCCATGCAGAGTCCCTCCTTGCGCCTACAAATGCTTATCTGGTACAGTGGCTCTTGTATTCTTATTTTATACAGTAGAGGGTGTTTGAGACATGTCCAGCAGGCAAGTCTCCTTTTTTCATTTTAGTCCAAATTGGTATTCAAATTGCATTCTAACACAAGCCACAAATTCCAAGGGACAGGCGGCAGGCTACAGAGTTGGAACACTGTGTTTAGTGTGGGGGCTGCGTTTTGACATGCTTCACACTTGGTCACCGCAAAGCTCACTCTTCTTGCTGATTGGAGAGTTCTGAACCAGCGGAGGACTGTGGGACTGCTGCAGAGAGACCTCTGCTTTCACACAGCCTATTGTTCTGTTAGATGTCTGTATATCTGAATTTTGTTTACTCTTCAGTTGACTTTAGTATAGTAGCATTTACATTGTTCCTTTGACATTATTAGCACATGAGTTAACCTGCTTCTCTTTTATTCAGGCCCGAAGTAAATTATCACAGCTTCAGGAGAGTCAGCAAGAAATGAACAAAAGCATTGAGCACTACAACACTGCTCTCAATGGAGATCATGGGGGCAGTCTGAATAATCTTGCAGATGCTGAGACATTTTCCTCACGAGAGAGGCTGGACCTTTCCACATCAGCGGTGAGAAACAGCACTGGTTCAGGTCCTAAAGAAGCGGTTCCTGGTAACCAACATTTTCTAATAATTGCCCATTTGGTTCACTATTGACTTACCAATTCTCACTTTTCAGATCTGGATAAAATGAATGGCTTCTGAGAAACCCTGCTTTATAAGCACTTCACTAAAAGGAAATCAATCACTAATACACACACACACCAAAAATTATCTGCACTCCGGTTACATTAAAACAGCGCTTTCCGTAAAAGGAAATCAATCACTAATACACACACACACCAAAAATTATCTGCACTCCGGTTACATTAAAACAGCGCTTTCCGTTCAAGGCTACTGTCTCCCCAGTCACTGCTGTGCTGGTGTGAACGTGTTATGTCAGTTCATTTGTAACTGAAGTGTGAGAAAAAAATGGATGCCCCACTTTTGATTTGCAAGAAAGAAGAGCAGCGTGCAGTGATTTTTTTTTTTTTTTGTGTGTGGTCTGAGGGTGTGTGGTGGCGTTATTTATCGAAGACTTTGTGCACAGTATGGAGAAAGTGTTTTGTCATGAAGAAGTGTGTATGGATGGATAGAGAAGTTCAAGGAAGCTTGCGCAAGTGTTAGCCATCAAGAAGGAACCGGGCGCCCCGTCTGATGACAACATTGAGCGTACATGTGAAATTATTCTGTTGAATAGACAGGTGACAGTGGATTATATGGCAAATCATTTGCAAATCAGAAAGCAGCCCTACAAGGAAGCAGATTCACCTTTGATGGAGAAATTAAGATAGTGGTGCATTTGCTCAGCCTAAAACATTTTTTAATGAGGGAATATAAAAGCTTGTTGACAGATGGGCAACGTGTATTAAAAAGCAAGGAGATTATATCAAACAATTATGTATTTGTCTTTTCTAAAAGTTGATTAAAATAATTTTTGACTCTCCCTCTTATACACACACACACACACACACTTTTTAAATTTAACATGGTTATATGTAAGATTATATACTAGCATAACTCGGAACTATAGTGGGCCGTTGAACTTGGCAGTTATATTTATTGCCTCAAAGCTTTGTTTTGAAAGTTGTAAGCTTATTGCTTCTGCAGTACGCTTACGTTACCTGTAAGAAAGGGTGTGCCAAGGACCACTGCTTTCAGATCACTGAAAGAGTGGAATGTATACCTATAAGTATTTTCCATGACGTCAGGTTCATTAATGCAGGTTTCATTGATTAGTAATATAACGGGAAGACAACAATTCAGAAGTAGATTTGGTTTACCTTGACACTGGATTATTTGTGCAAACAAGGAAAGTTCCAAGCTAATGATGTGTTTTTTCATTCCTCATAACATTCTAATGTATGTCCCTTTTACTTTAGTGCTCAACTGCTTGCAGTATAATGAATACTGCTTAATGGGAAACACATGAAGCATATGACAAGTTTTCATTGCTGTGTTTGTTTCAGGAAAATCTCAAATTGATTTATAAATAGCTCATTCTTCATTTTTCTTTTCTGCAGGATGATCCATTTAAAAGTAAATCCCAACTTTTCAACAACAGCAACAACCAAGACCTCTACTCTGACCCATTCCAGACTGAAGATCCCTTTACTGCAGACCCTTTTAAAGGGGCAGACCCATTCAAGAGCAGTAGGTTCATGACAGTGTTCTAAAGAGCTATGCATGTTGGATTCTAAATAAAATAACCTGATGAGTTTAATACTCATTGCATTACACACTGCGTTAATGGTCCTTTTTTCCATCAGATCCATTCGGCGATGATCCTTTTAAAGAAAGTGATCCCTTTCATGCTCCCCCTACTGAAGACCCATTCCAGAAGCCCAGCAAAAGTGATCCTTTTTCTGCTGACCCTTTCACAAAGAATAGTGTCCACTCCATGACCCTGCCATTAAAGGTGAGAAAAAGCCAACCAGATGGATTTATTTAACAGCCCTTTCTATATCCTTTTTATATCTTGTGTAGATGGAGCATTTGTTGTGTTAACCAGAATTCTGTCCATGGTAACCAACAGGTCTCAAGGCAATTCCCACTTTTAGTAAGTAGTATGTCTCCATTGATGAAATACTGGTCCCTCTCATAGTAAACCATGATTTAAATGATTGAGACTTAACAATTTGCTAATTTGCATTTGTTTCTTCCACAACAGTCTGATCCTTTTGAGAGCAGAGATCCTTTCTCCTCTTCAACACTGCCAAAGAAAGAATCAGGTGAGTAGGCATTATGTTAACATGTTCAGCACTTTAATTCCATAGATTTTATGATGAAACATGGTGTTAATGCTAGGTTTTTGGGCAAGGCTTTAGGCTAAAAAAGGTCAATATGTGACCGTGTGTGATGTCAAGGGCTAAGTATAGTGATCTAGAGAACAATGTTTTGAGTACAAGGAAAGAAGTGATGTTTTCCCCTCACATATTTTAATAGCGTTATTGGATTTATTAATCCAAGAGAGTTTGCTGCATGAAGCTGAGTAGGATGCATTGGTGGAGCAGTATTACAATATTTATTTTCTTTATGTTTAAAGCCCCACTCCTAGTTCAACCCCCCCCCCCCCCCCCCCCCTGATGCACAGGGTCCTCTTCGGATCTTCTCCCGGTGGTGGGCGCTACAGTGATGCAGAGAGTGACGCTATTATGATGACAGTGACACCATTCCCTGCATTATTACACTGCAGATGTGGAGCACCATGGTGATGCCCCCTCAGGGAGTGAGTCCATGAAGCCCTGCAATCACAGTATGTCTTTAAAATCATTCCTAAGACATGTTTTTTTATATTGTTTATTGTCCCCAAATGGATGTATATTTCTACCTGTAGTTTAGGACATTATTCTAAATATTTCATTCATTGTGTACACTTTTTTTCTTTTCCTTTTTTAAAGGTTTTTTTTTCCTCTTCCATGGTTTTAGCTTCCTGGAGGCAGTCCTTTAATAGTTGCCCATCAAGTCATTACTCCTCCAATAAACCTTGCTGTACACCACTCCTGTAAAATTGTGAGTTGAGGACTGAAGTCCTGAACTTGAAGGGATGCCTTTTGTAGGCTTTAATTTTCTCCTCCCTTTAGAAAAGTAGGGAGAAAGTAACTGTGCCCCTTTGTAGACTGATATAGATATGTCCTGTTGCACTCCTTACCAATTCCCAAGAATAAACCTGAAAGATCAGGCGGGTGCTTGAAATGACCAGGTGTGGCACCGTGAATGTCACATAGAGCCCAGAAACGTCACCAGCACACCATTTTGACGTCATTCTGAGCCTGATGAAGGGGACCTGTGAGGCCCTGAAAACGTTAGCATTTGAATGACTACAAGTGTCATTAAATTGATTTTTTCCCCCGTCTAAATTGTGTGCTGGTGACGTTTCTGGACCTTTTGTAGCCCGAGTCATGCTGTCCACCTTTTGGAGCTGGAACAGCTTGTTCAGAAGATCGAAACATATGTAAATAACAAAACTCCTGGAGGTATTATGAGACAGCGGTCTGCACAAAGATGCATAGGGCTTGTGGTGTGGTTGAAAGCAACTCCCGAAGGAGGAGACGAGTAGTAAAAACTCGGCCGTTTGGGAGATAGTGCATTTGATTGATGACACAATTGTTTTTTATTTATACAGCCAAGGACACTCCTACTTTCTGCAGAAATGGAAATTCACATTATGCATATTTTACCTGCTGTGCATAGCGTCAGATTACCTGCATTTCTTGTAACACAGCAGGTAGAAATGAGATGCACATTGTATGTCATCACCTGACCGTCACAATTACTATGGGCAAACATATGTAGATACCTCTTCATATTATTGCGTTCAGCGGTTTCCCATGAAGGGTTCTGCTAATGCTACAGCATACAAAGACATTTTCAGCAATTGTACTCTACCAACCTTGTGGTAACCATTTAGAAAAGGCCCTTTTCTGTTCTAAAAAGGCGCCTATGCACAAAGTTCGGTCCATAAAAACATGTTTGTTGAGGAGGCCTTGAGTGGCCTGCACAGAGTCTTGACCTAAGCCCTATTGAACACCATTAGGATGAATTGAAATGCAGATGGCGGCCCACGTTTTCTTGTCCAACATCCATACCTGACCTCACAAATACTCATTTGGTTAACTGGGCACAAATTTCCACTGGCACACTCCGCAATCTGGTGGAAAGCCTTCCTAGAAGTGGAAGACTGTTATAGCCACAAAAGGGGGAGGGGGACCTTCATATAATGCTCATGGTTTTGCAGTAGAATGTCCAACACGCTCAAATTGGCGTGATGGTTAGGTAGCCACAAACGTTTGTCCATATACTGTATTTGCAAGCATGTGAGACTTCGTATGTGTAAATACTATACCAGGCATGACTTATGTGGTGGAAACCAAAATCTCAACATGCCAGGAATTGTAGTTCCACAGAAGCTGCTCCATCCCAGGCCAACCATCCCACCTTTGTCTGTAAGCTGGAAGTCTGGGAAGCCGTTATGTTTATTTTTTATTTTTTTTATTGAGGGGAATTTCTCAAAACTGGAGCAGACAAAATCTGGAGCAGTTGCCCAGGGTAACCAATCAGCTTTTTTCTTCAGTTTGCTTAGTTAATATTGAAAATGAAAGGTGGATGCTGATTGGTTGCAGTACACAGCTGCTCCAGATTTTGTCTGCTCCAGCCTTGATGAATTCCCCTCACTGTTCCTGCACGCTTCTTGCTGTCTCTCCCATGCAGGAAGCCTGATGTAGCGATGTGTCAGCATTACATTTTTTTCACAGCATATAGTCACTTTCTAACCTGCTTATAAAAACCCAGAAGAACCAGCTATTTTCTTTACTTCTGGCGGGTGAATAGTGAAGGGAGTAAATGGTAGGTGAGTATTTGTTTTTGGGGACATAGTCCTTTAAAGTGAATTGGTTAACCATAAGGTAGATTAAATGGACTTTTGACGTAAGCATAGTTGCGATATTTCCCAGATACTATTAACATTCCAGTTGTTAGTTTGGGATTGATCTTACACTAGACATTCAGTTTATTTGGAAATAATAAAGAGCTCCTTTATTGACCCCGGTATTTGATCCCAATCATAGATTAATGTTTTTTCAATCTTGCATAAGCAAAACTGTATATAGTTTCAGAGTATATTTAGTAAAGCTCAGAAATGTGCCTATTTTTTGTTAAGGCTCTCTTCACACATAGGCATTTTGTTGCTCAAAGTTAAGCGAGACAAAACACTCAAGACAAGTAATCCCATTTTTTTCTATGGCCCCTGGTCACACCTGAGCACTCTGTCCTATGAAGCTTCCCATTAAAGTCTATGGGACCAAAAAGTGCTGCAATATGCAAAAATGTAGCTCACGTACTTTTTCCAGCGACACATGGTTTTCTGCTTGAGACAAAACACTCAGGTGTGAACAGGGGCCATTGAAATGAATGGGATTCCTTGTCTTGAGCGCTTTGTCGTGCTTACCTTTTGAGTGATAAAACACCTAGGTATGAACAGGGACTCAATGATGTTTTATAAATGCATCCCTTTGTGTTAAACATTTACTTCACCTCACTATCAGCTTGTATCCTTTCTAATCCAACGTTGTTATTATTATATAAAACAAAGTGCACCGAGCTTTCTCCAACCTTTACAATCCTCTCCGCCAAAAGCACAGTGAAGGATTGGTATGCTCTAATCCAACAAGTGAATATAAATCAGTGCCCCAAACATTATCAAACAGCCAATGCATCTATATAAACAGAGTGATTATACTATCATAAAGTGCAAAAGTTCATAAACATAGCTGCAGGAATAAATTAGTTCCGATTGAAAGGTATTTTTCCTGTGTTCCACCTTTGTGTAATCTATCTTTTCTTATCCACTCACCAGATCCTCCAGATTATAGAAGCCATCCTTAAAATACCTGCTCGGCTCCCCTCCTTTATGGTATTTAGATCTCTATTGAAATTCCACTCACAACCATGATTTTTCCATGCGGTTTATTATTAATTATTTTATCCCCTCATTTCCTTGTGAGAGTAATCTCCTCACCAGAATCTCACAAAATTTGGTATCGATCAGGGTGTTGTTAATTTCCAGATATGCAAAAATCAGAAAAAATGCACATAGCATAACATCCTTAGATATATTTATTGTGCAAAATTGTAAAAAACATACATACAAAAATGATGCAAATCAGCACTATACATAAAGACCGGTCACATCCGATGTGCGCATATCCACCTCTCAAGCTCTCCATGGTAAAATTACACCACCAGGTGTATCACTTAGATCATTAGCAGGTCTTACCTGTTGTTGGATTAGAACATACCAATCCTTTGCTGTGCTTTTGGCGGGGAGGATTGTAAAGGGGGGAGATAGCGCGGTGCACTTTGTTTGTTTTATATTGTTTGGTTAGAGGAATAATTCACATGTCCTCTGGTTTCTCACTGCAGCTGTCACAATATATATGTTGATGAGGTATCTATAAGCGAGAATAGACTACGATTTTTATATAACTTTACTATTACATAATCTAAGTACCTATACACTTCGGTATTATTATGGTAATATCTTCACATCAGTAGATAGATGAGTGCAATGAAAATGTAAAAGTAGGTTTATACAGCTGTTGTACTGTGTATGTACCTTTATGTGTAGAGAGAGAGAGAGAGAGAGAGCTATAGGGAAGGATAGATATATAGAGAGAGATAGAGATAGATATAGCGATAGAGAGAGTTACATTAATTATATTATATTTTTTTAATATATTATTTCAGCTCTAAACACAAATTCTTATTAAAACAGACTTGAAAACCACTATATGCTATCTCAGCATAAAATGCATTTTCCTTTTGTGTGGTGGTGGTGGCCCTTTTGTAAACTTACTGCTTGTGTTATAGACCCATTTGGAACTCTGGACCCCTTTGGAAGCAGTGCATTCAACAGTAATGAAAGCTTTGCAGACTTTAGCCACATGGCCAAGGTAAGTAGAGGTTTTTGTATTTAAAATGGGAACTCTGAGCACACAGCTAAGTACACTGTGTTATTATTTTATAGAAAATACTATTTTATTATGTCAAAATCAACAGTACAAGATATAAAGTAGCTTATATGAACCATAATGACATTTTGAGTGGCAATCTGTTTATTTTTTTCAACAAGAAATATAGAGGGCTGCCCTAAGGTTGATATAACGAGCTAGTAGGCTCAATATAAATAGCTGTCATAATATATATCCTACATTTTCACAAACCTCTGCAGCATATGCTGTGAAAAAGAAATGTGCACACTACTTAAATATAATTAACCATATATACTATTAAAGTCAAATTGTAGTAACTAGAAAGAGTCTTCAGACTTGGTCTATAGTATTGATACACACACTATGGGGAATTTATCAAAACTGGATCAGACAGAATCTGGAGCAGTTGCCCACGGCAACCAATCAGACTCTCTGGTTACTGTGGACAACTACTCCAGATTTTGTCTGTGACACTGTCCTGCTCGCGGTCCTGCAGATAGGTATGTCACCTACCCGAAAATAAGACCTAGTACTATTTTTGGGAATTTCTAAAATATAAGTCCTACCCCGAAAATAAGACCTAGTTGTGACAATTCCCAGGGCCGGTGGTGGCATAAGGGGGAACTTGAAGAGCCGCGGGAGAGGCAGGAGAGAATCAGCGGTGCCAACGAACCCAGCGCTAGAGGAGGCGAGGCGGCACTGGAGGGAGCAGAGCTGCATAAGCCGATGCTTCCTCTATAGCGCCGTCTCCTGTCACAGGAGGAGTGATACCAAATGTGCTCCGCCTGTGAGGAATCGATAGTGAAAGTGCACTTCGCTCATTCTGGCCAGCGATTGGTTAGCAAAATGCTCTTGTAAAGGTACGGCACCCCTGATCACCATATTTTTGTACATGAATAAGTGTAGATTGTTGTACATTAAAAAGAAAAATAAGACCTACCCCGAAAATAAGACCTAGTGTGTTTTTTTGAGCCAAATAAAATATAAGACAGTGTCTTATTTTCGGGGAAACACGGTATCTGCCTCCAGCACTATTATTGCTCAATTAATCTGCATCTCTACCTCTGTCCGGTGAGCAGACAGGCCATAAACTTTAATGGCCAACCAGGAAGTAGCAGAGTTATGCTGAAAAGAAGAGATGCATGCATTACAAGAATGCCTGCCCCAAATGACAACGATTTTGGGCAGTTAAAACAGTAAATATAAGTGTTTGAACTGTGTATGTAGCTGTTTGTCCAGAATTCTGCTTTAATAGGAATAGTGTATAATGTCTTTGCAGGTCTCGTGACTTATTTTTGTTCATCACTAGGTGTCACCATTACCACACTAAGCTTCCACAGTCTGCTCATACTGAAAGCTTGAGCTCTCTAGTATCTCTCCCACCACTTCAAAGTTATACTTGTAAGGTGTAATAAACAAGGCAAATGTGGTTTTATCTATGAGATTCTAGCTTGTTTTCACAGAAATATTCTCTGTTGATCGTTAACCTACATTGTACTTCTAATGAACTGAAATTAGGTTTTAAAAAACAAGCACCCCCCCCAAAAGTTTTTAAGCAGCATTATTTATACTAAGTCGGTGTTCCTTAGACATGTAAAGGGGTCTGTACCTGATTCCTTTATGTGGCTTTAAAGTGAAATTTAAATGTTTGATGTGGAACATTGTGATAAAGTGTAGGTGTATGCAGAATAAAAACATATTCAGTACATTCCTGCAGTACATGCACAATCCCCGTGCTTTTTCTCTTTTTCAAAAAGCTGCAAGCACAGAGAAATACCCAGTGATTCTGCCAGAAATCCATCGGCTCCTAACTTCCTGTCGTGTGTTGACAACACTGCCTTTGCTGCACTGAAATCCAGGACAGTTTTGTTAGCCCTGCCTAATGTCTTCCCTGCTGGAATTCAGAACACCCCCCACTCCATAATATTAGGGGGGGAAGGTGTTCTGTAGTCTAGCATTTGAGGACTCAGACAAGGCTGACAACACTGCTTGGGATTGCAGTGCAGCAGAGCCACCATTGTCAGTTTACTGCAGGAAGTGAAGAGCTTAGTGGATATCTTGCAGGATTAACATTTTCTTCTGTAGTTGCAGTGTTTTTAAAGAGATGAAACTTGGGGAGATGTGCATGTTTTGCACAAATGTATTGAATATGTGCTTTTTTTTTAAACTTTTACTTTGCCCAGACGTACACTTTAATAATGGAGAATTGTTTTTTTTCTTATTTTATATATTGTTAAGATACACATGACATGACTGTTGCCTGGGTCAAATGCTGAATGTCACACAGATTAGGTGACATTCAGCATTTCTGTGTGCTAGCATATTGCACCAGACATCCAGGGGGACTATTCAACAGGATATTCAGATTGGCTCGAACAGATGTTTTTAACATATTGCTGTTGTGTCCCACCACATAAGCTGCCAATGGTGCTGTCTGAGTGCACCGCTCTTTGGCCTGTCTTGTTGTAAACATGTACACTTGGGTGATCCAGTCATGCATGTTTGCAGAGTGCTCTGTCAGTCCATTTTTCTATGTAAAGCAATACTTAAGGCCCCATTCACACCTATGCGTATTGTAATATGCGCGTCTGTCGCACGACCGTCACGCGGTTTTTTTACCGCGATTCGCGGTAAAAAAGTCGCGCGACCGTCGCGCGATTCCAAAGGCTACTTGGCAGTATACAAATGGAAAACGCCCTACAAAACGGACCAATACGCAGCAAAAAACGCTCCGGGACCTTTTCATGCGTGGGCCGTTTTGTAGTGCGTTCGGGACGGGCGGAAATACGGACAGGTGGGAACGATACCATTGACTACAATGCTATTTATTTTTTTGACCGTTTTGTAGAGCGTTCATCGAGCGTAGGACGCGCTACAAAACGGTCAGTTGTGAATGGGGCCTAATCCATCTAATAATTCATCGATATTGTGCACACCGTGGCTAAACTTCATGTGATCCATAATCCCACTCAATGATTCATACAAGATGTGTGGTCCTGGATGCACAATCGGTACAAAATGCATGAGAAGCATATAATGTCAAGTGCAAAAAGATCCTTTTAGATGGGCTAAAGATGGGGGAAACTGAAGTAAAGGCTAGGTGGAGAACCACTTCCATGGGCACTGTTTTTTTGTAAATGTGTCATTGTCCGTGTATATTGAATCGTTTAAAGTAGTTTTAAACTCTCAAACCTTTTGTCAATGAATACAGATCAAACAAATATGCATTGCCCAACAATGTATTTATGTTTGCACAAACACTTACAGTCATCATGTTTCCAGATAGCTGGCTCCAATTCTCTCAGCTTCACTTCGCTGAACTTCCTGTCCAGTACAAGACCGAAAGAGAGAGCTGCCCATCTACTAGCTTTTAAAAAGGAGGAAGGTGAGGGGAGCAGGGAGCAAGTTGAGCAGGGAGCAAGGGAGCAGCTAACTAGCGCACACAAGTGTGGCTCCATAGGTCCCTGGAAGGGAAAAGAGCCACTCTAAAACAGGATATCGGGAACAGTGCTTAGGAGACCGGCTGATGGGCTGCAGTCGGTATTCGGCTAACAATTTTTTGGCTTGACTCTTTCGATAAAGGTTGTATTGGGTAATTGACATTTGTCGAGCCGGCAGGGCCTACTACTGTAAGAATTTCAGCCAATTCCTTTTAATCGGCTGACATTCCAACAGTGCATGACTAGCCTTCTTTGTTCCTTTCATGGGCACCAACTCTATGTGCATGCTTATGCAGTTAAAAATATGGAATTGTGTTTTCTCTCACACCTTGCCATTGTAGTCTTATGGCAGAATATACTTTTGCTGTACTTTTGTAATGGATTTAGCTGGCTAACAGTTGCAGGTGTATACCACCGTCTGTTAAGTGGAGTTTTACATTTAGTTAGAATACTGTTTGAAAGTGAAAAAAAGTATTACCGGGTGCAAAACATCTTTGATTTCTTTGAGAGGAATACTCTGTACCCAGACAGTTCTGTGCAAAGGAAACCTATCTCATGCACATCAAAGGTGTGTATGGTCTAGCTCTTAAACTACAAAGTTGTTGTGGAAATTGTACCACCTTTGTTGCACAATAAAAACACCTTCAATGCAGGCAACCCAGAGTTAAATCCCCCTATTGCAAAACATTTGATGTGTTCATGAGTGTTTCTCTCACTTTTATTGAACAGTAGAAATAGAAGTCATCTTGAAGCGTATTTTTACTCACGTTATCAGGAGCTGGATATCTTGCAGGTAAACACAAGCTGCAGATTTGTCTGTGCACATCTCCAAATGTGATCTTCTAAGGCCTGGCTCACATCTATGCGATTTTATGCATGTGGATTTAGTCGCATGAGATTGCGCAAAACACAGATTCGCATTTAAGTCGATGGATGCTTTTCACACCTTTGCGTTGCGTAACGCAGGCAAAATCTCCTGTCGTGCAAAAAGGTGCAGGAGCTATTTGCGGGCAGTTGTCGCATGGTTTTAGTCCCATAGACATCTCTATGCAGAGGGAACTACACAATTTCCGCACAGTGATCATGCAAAAGTGTCAAAACAGCTCAAAATTTCAAACGCCTAGGTGTGAACCAGACCTCAAAATAATTTGGGCGCAGCTGCTGCAGTGAATGAAAACTAATGACTTTTGGAATATTTTTTTAATATTGGTATTTACAGTATATAGCGCTGACAATTTACGCAGCACTTTACATATTGCATATTCACATCAGTTTCTGCCTTCAAGGAGCTTACAATCTAAGGTCCCTATCTCACATACAGGACCAATATAGACAGGAGCCAATGTACTTTCAAGCATGTCTTTTGTGTGTTGGAGGAAACCAGAGTACCCAGAAGAAACCCACACAAGCACAGGGAGAACATGCAAATTCCATGCGGATAGTGTCCTGACCGGGATTTGACCGCTAACCACTACGCCACTGCGCCAGATATGTTAATAAAGTTAAACCTTGCCTGCCATT